AACAGACGTGAAGTAAAAGTACACACCAGCCGGACAAATCACAACACACCCATAGACAAAGTACATGTACATTTTGGGCTGTGTTCCACCTCTCTAAACTAAACTTACAGTATCGATGTACACACAACACACCCATGGACAAAATGAAGTGGTTAGAATTAAAAGGTGGCTTAGTGCAATATTTGAAAGAAAAGAGATATAATTGGTGTCATCATGATCCTTGACCCCAAATCTATCCAGTAAGATGCATGTATTCAGGTCACGAAAAGACTCTCAAATAAGCCAGACATAACACGATTTTGTTACCAAATTCCAGATATGAAAGGTTGTTAACTCCAAGCAAAGGAGTTGACTCTAGTGCAATTGGCTCCGAAGACAACTAACCCGTGTGATTCCTAGTTCCGTGTAGAATGGTGTTGACGCCTTCTATTACGGTGTCTCGGCCTTATAGGCCTATGTAGAGCTTATCAGGTTCGCATCTTTCTCTGAATCTATACTTTCAAATGTGATTTTGACCTCTCAAGAATATTTCATCGTTATTTATTTGCACGTAGAGGACACAGGCTGAGTCAGGTTCAGAATTTGAAACTGAATCGGGATCTGAAATAGAAAAGTCTTTAGCTCTCTTGTTTTTGTTTTTTTGCTTTTTCGAATTACTGTTTCTGTTCATCAAGAAATTCAGACTACGGTACCGGTATCAATGATATTATTGTGAGAACACTTGATAACAGGAAAAGCAAATGAGACATAGATCACTTAAGTCATGATGGTTCTTCAGATAACGCAGAAGGTGACATGTTTCAGAATAATGACGATGATCCAAATGACCCTGACTATGATCTGTTTCAGGATGAAGCATTTACAACTGATGGTGGTGCTGTATCAATGGAATTACTGACGAGGTAATGATGCCTATCGATAGAATCAATAATAAAAACGTTCAAAAACCCTATCTTATGTTATTTCGTGGTGATATGCCGGATGAATCAGCCACTGCAACAAAGAACAATGTATTGTTCACAGAATAGATCAATGAGACTTTTTGTGAAATACTGGCTGTATAATCTTTCTTACGGGTCATCTGGTACAGATAGATGTACAGTATGCGTCAGGTTGAATATTTCAATCAATGCAGCATCTGACGACATTGACAAAATAATACTGAAAGGGGAAAATGAAGTCCAAAACGGTTGAATTTCCAATGTGCTTAATGGGATAACAAAAGAGATAAGATCATAAAAGTACAGGCTTTGCATTTGGCTTTCAGTAAGATCTTCCGGCACCAATTACAAGTGGAGACATTTTCTATGAAGCAGTTAAGGACATATAATACATGTATCGGTATTCATAACTTGAGCAATAGCAAAGATATCATATATTTGGCCTGGATTCTCTCATCAGCGGGATTGTAATGAAGCTGCAACTTGTCTGAATCACATTTCAGTTCTCTCACAGAGATGACATTAAAACATAAGACTGTAAAGGGATGGGGGTACCCATTAAGGGAACAAAAACAAAAGAGTAACGTAATTCCTTCTGTCTCTTGTTGAACAAAAACGTTTTAGAACATAGACCACTACTTCTGACACGGAGACATACGGACCTTCCTTGTGACAGGAATTTTGCACGTATTGAAATATACAAACAAACTTGACATCCAAAGTATCAGATGATTACATGGACATTAAGGAGCGGAGTCAACCAAGCGCAATTATTTTATTTCAAAGCGGTAGTCATGGAAACAAAAGACATAATATGCTAGACTTCAAATCCGTAGCTAATGATGCTATTATACAATCCTTCAAGGATCTACAATTTAGGGAGGACATGCAGTTTAGCTTATATCACGGCGAAAATGAAGAACTAACTTTTAATGATGTAGGCACAAGTACTGAATACAAAGCACACCCGGGCCAGCTTTGGTGCAGGTAAAATTTGAACAAAGCTGAACCATAGAAGAAGTTCAAAGTCTTTTTAAGAAGAACAAAGATTGCTGTGGGGGGGCCAAAGTCTGCCTACACAAATCAAGTTGGCATAAAAGCTGAAAGTTGTTATTTTTTTCTGTTGTCCTTTAGAATACAAAAATGCTTGACATAATGACTTTTCTCTAGATGTCCTGAATAAAGTTCCTATTTCACTTGTATTTAAACATGAAACATATTTTAACCCCTTCCACTTTGGCACTACAAAATAAAAGGCAATGTGAATGTCATGAAAAGTGCAGATCTATTTGTTGCCGTTTTCGTGGTAGTCTATTACACGTAACACACTCCATCTGTACGGAGTTAGACCCCTTACAATGACTCCCTCGTAGCATGGCTTAAGTAATGTCTACCTTGCCTAAAATCCAATTTACACATGCAGTGGGTCAATCCTAAGGTCCAATCAAACAAGTGGTTCAAATTGTCTGGGAAAACACATTTCCATCAAAGGCATCACCGAAATTTAGACAAATAAGTCAGAAATAAGAACAGTCCAAAGGTGTTAAGTCCATTTGTGGAGTTAGACACCTTCTGTTTTCAGCGATGTTTGTTTTTTCGCCATAAATATTTTAATTTTCATCTTAAAGCAACACAAGGTCGATATTTTAGAAGAAAAAACAATTCCGCATGCACTGATATCAAATATGTTACACAAAGGCGCACATTTGAAAAAAATCTCGTTTTTTTGCATTTTTCTCGAAATCATTCCAATGGCAGTTGACAAAGTATACTTTGGGCTGTGTTCCACCTCTCTAAACTAAACTAACAGTACTGACGTACACACAAATTACATACACATTGGCAAAGTATCTCAGTACATTTTGGGTTGTGTTCCACCTCTCTAAACTGAACTAACAGTACTGACGTACACACAACACACCCACTGGCAAAGTATCTCTGTTCATTTTGGGCTGTGTTCCACCTCTCTAAACTGAACTAACAGTATCGATATATACTCACAACACACCCACTGGCAAAGTACCTCTGACAAAGAGCCAATGGTAAGTAAGTTTACTCACCGACTGTTAGAAAGTTGGACAATCCTGTAATGATAGCTTCATTACGGTATTTATTTTCCCCAGGAGCCAGACGTCAAAGAAGGAAAAGCGAAATAAACAGCTTTTGTTGTGAGCGACAATCAAGACGGTCGCAATAGCGCACGTGCGAGGAAGCTTTAGGTCATGAGGAAAGGTATATTTTGATAACTCACTGACTGCTAGAAAGAGGGGCTATGAGGCAATGTATATTTTGATTACTCACTGACTGCTAGAAAGAGGGGCTATGAGACAATGTATATTTTGATAACTCACTGACTGCTAGAAAGAGGGTCTATGAGACAATGTATATTTTGATAACTCACTGAGTGCTAGAAAGAGGGACTATGAGACAATGTATATTTTGATAACTCACTGACTGCTAGAAAGAGGGACTATGAGACAATGTATATTTTGATTCTCACTGACAGCTAGAAAGAGGGACTACAAGACAATGTATATTTTCATAACTCACTGACTGCTAGAAAGGGGGACTGTGAGACAATGTATATTTTGATAACTCACTGACAGCTAGAAAGAGGGACTGTAAGACAATGTATATTTTGATAACTCACTGACAGCAAGAAAGAGGGACTATGAGACAATGTATATTTTGATAACTCACTGACAGCTAGAAAGAGGGACTATGCTGTAAGCACGCTAATTTTCGGTTGCCGCAAGTAATGCAGAACAAAGACCCTTCCACCTGGGAAGTAATGCTGTCTGTGTGATGTTACAATTTCAAAAGAAAAATTACATGAAAGGACCCGGACAAACGAAGTTAATCTTAGTGTGTGTGTGTGTGTGCGTATGTGTGTGCGTGTGTGTGTGTGTGTGCGTGTGCGTGTGTGTGTGTGTGCGTGTGTGTGTGTGGGGGAGGGGGGTTCTTGTGTGTGTGTGAGTTCTTGTGTGCGTGTGTGTGTGTGGGGGGGGGGGGTTCTTGTGTGCGTGTGAGTGTGTGTGTGTGTGTGTGTGTGTGTGTGTGTGTGTGTGTGAGTGTCAGTCTGAGAGTTGATGTGTGTGTAGGAGACAATAGGTGAGAGCGTGTGTGCCTGTACGTGCAACAAAGAAATTTCTGGTTTGGAATCTATGGAAAGTACAGAGGCCGTCACACGGTTGCAAGCGTTAAGTACACACGCGTATTTCAGCGTCGATATCCGTGTGTTTACATGGCCTGAGACGATGGAGCTGAGAAAGTCTCCCATCTATAGAGCTGGTTCACTTTCATCTGACCGCGGGTAAAACTAAAATTTATGAAATTATGAAATCTTCTCAGATCATTGCATATGGGTCTAAAAGTGGGAAGACCTACAGAATCAAAAAGCCCATTCATAAAGGTCACTACAAACTAAGGTTCCGACACGTTTTCTTTGATGTAAGCCTAAAAAAAGTCGAAAAAAAAACTAAAACGGGATTTACAAGATACACTTGAAACATTTAAAAGTTTGACATATTTTCCCCAACACCACACTTTAAAGTTTGCCTGAGAAACGTGATTAAAGAGACGGGGTGAGTAATTTTCAAGACTCACGCGGAGCACGTGGAGACGTCTTGACAGCCGGGGGATGAAATTTACAAGCTTACACTGAAATGTGGGGGCAGGGCGGTGTCGCTGTCTCAAAATTAGCAATTTGTAGGCAAGGCTAATGTAAGTGTAAGTCATTTATTTTAGTGATCCTGTTTATGCATCTAAAGAGCGGTTTTTAATACATGGCCCAACGTTTTAAATTACTGATCAAGATTTTTAAAAAAAATATTTTTGTTTGGTTGCTGGCCTGTAGAAAAGCCATGCAAGGTTTTTTGGACATAGGTAAATTGATAAAATATGAGTTAGAATTTTTTTAACACTGTCAGACGAAAGTGAACAAGCTTTAGTGATCCTGTGTATGCATCCAAAGAGCGGTTTTTAATATAATGCCCCCCCCCCCCCCAAAAAAAAACAACCAACAACAAAAATTCTATTACAGGATCAAGATAGTTTTAAAATTGGTTGGTCACTGACCTACAGAAATGCCATGCAAAGTTTCGTGGGTAAATGTGAATTAATAAATGAGCTAAAATATATTCTTTTAAAACATAGACAGACAAAAGAGAACAAGCCACTAGATCTCGGCGTTGTTCTCAAAGTGTGAGTCTCCCTCCCTCAAACAACAACAACAACAACAACAAACACACAGACAGACAGACAAAACAAACACGTGAACACATAATCAACCGACAGAGTCTTCCGTGTCATGAGGCTGTCACTTCCCGGCACGTTCACGGATTTTCATTTCGCTGAAGGAGACAGAGTCGCCAAATCCCGTAACATCAACCCAGTACAAGCCCTTCGCGTACCTTGTGCTGGCCCACTCCCCGTTGAGGTTCACGCTAGAGCAGCTATAGTACCACCAAGCTCCGTGGCGATCATCGGCGCAGTTTTCACCACTCCTTCCATCGTTGTCACGGTCCTTGGTTGTGAACGGCTGACCATTGTGATAATCTATCATGGCCCCAAAATTCCCTGAAAATCCGGACATCCGAATCTTGTAGTTGTCCGGTTCTCCATCCAGCGAAAAGCTGCTGTAGGTGGCGTAGTAGTTAGTTCCCTCATATTCGAAATCGACCCTCAGTTCGTATTGCCCCTGGTGATGAGAACGTGAGGAAAACTAAAACAGCAGCCCTGTAGATACGTGTGCTTTCCACACACACACACACACACACACACACACACAAACAAACAAACACGCACAAACGTATAAACACATACACACAAACATACACACAAACAAACACACACACAAACAAACAAAAACTCACACAAACAAACACTTACACAAACAAACACACACACAAACATACACACAAACATACACATACACAAACATACACACAAACAAACACACACACACAAACACACACACAAACAAACACACACACAAACAAACACACACACAAACAAACACACACACAAACATTCACACACACACACACACAAACATTCACAGACACAAACATACATACACACACCACACACACAAACAAACACACACACAAACGTATAAAAACATACACACAAACACACACATAAACACACACACACACAAACATACACACACAAACATACACACACACATACAAACACACACAAACATATACACACAAACGTATAAACACATACGCACACACAAACATACACACACACAAGCATACACACACAAACATACACACACATACAAACACACACACACACACACACACACACACACACACACACACACACACACACAATCAACTCGCTATTGCTCAGATGGAAAATTTCAAAATGAACCTGGCCTCGACGCGTACGTTATGGGTTCAAATCCCAGTCTGTCGGAATGTTTTTGGTCCTCTTGAAAATTTTGTCTTTTTTGTTTTAGTACAGGTTTTACGGCGCTCACAACTGCATAAGGTCATCTGAGCGCCATGGGGTGGATATCAACAAATAAGTCCTTACAGGGAATCTGACTTACTCTGCTCACCTCTCTAGCTTCAACACCAAAGTCTGCTTCGACTATCAAGGCACCCCGGAAATATCGGGTCACAAGAGGGTGACAAACATACAAAAGAAGTAGAGGAGAAATGGCGATAGTAAGGACTTTGAAAGAAAAAGCAGCAGTTCCCTGTTGCAGTTCGGGCACAGTTATGAGCATGACATAGATGAATCAGCAAATTTACAATTACAACTTAACTGTGCATAAGAACTCGAGATATCAATGCCCCCCACCCCCTTTGGGAATGGCCTAAAGACACCTCAGTCAGTAGCCCCGTCCCGGGGGGGGGGGGGGGGTGGTTAGATTTCGTCTGAGCCGCGTGTCCTAGCGGGCGATCGTGTCCGCAGCTTTTGAAACTCGTGTGTCTAGTAGGGCCGTTATTTCACCGCGAACACAAAATTAGTTTTAGTTTTAGTCGTAAGAGTTTTACAGCACTTGAAACACAATAGGCAGCAGTATCGGTGTTGAAGATTAGGGGTGTTACTACGAGAGTAACATAAAGAGAAAAGGGGTAGGAGAGATAAGAGGGTGTTACTGAGAGTAACATACAGAGAAAAGAAGGAGGAGAGATAAGAAGGATGGATGATAGATGGGAAAGAAGGAGCAAGCCACAGCACAGCACCCGCCAACCACCCTCAAAGTCAAAAGAGAAAGCGGAAATAGAAAAGGGCCAAAAAGAAAGCCCGTGTCAGAGACAGGGAAAGGGGAACAAGGACATGGAGTCTGTACACTCCACACTCTGTGAATCAGGAATCAGGGAGCCAATGGGTTGGACCTAAAGTGCAGTCAAAAGATCGTGGTGCAACTTATCCTCAAATATCTCTTAAACGGGTGAATCAATGGCATCTCTACTTTGCATAGCAGTTTGTATCAATTTGTCGTAACTAAATTATATTTTTCTGGAACAATTGGGGCTAGATTTAAAAAACTTTTTTTCATAAATGTATATAAAATACTTGAAATCTCTGTTATGTGTAAAATGGTATTGTTCACAGCACTTCCCGCTTTTCACACACATTTTGATTACGCATATGGCCTACGTCACAGCTCATCAAAGACAATTTTTACTTACAAAACTTGTTATAAGAAATTTTAGTTATAGTGAACACACTTTTTGCACTAATGGCTTTCAAAACATGCGTTCAATAAGCACAATGTCCCGATTAGAAAAACCTGACGGACTTGCTATTAAAAGCTGTATTGCCCCAGCTGTAAACATTTACAAATCTGTAGAAACCACCCACTTGGATTTTTTATTAGTATATATTAAGGAATTTTCTAGAATACAGCTTGCAGGTGTTTACAAAAATGTTGATCTGTTAAGACAAATTGATACAAGTCACTGTGCAAAAATTGGAGAATCTATGTTCGATAGTTGAGATATTTGAAAATAAGTCGAACCACGAATTGTTGACAGCACTATAAAAGGTGGCAACGCTGAATGCCCCTCCCCCCCCCCTCACCCACCCTTCCTTCCAACAATATCATTATCATCAACAACATCCACAACAACAATCACCAACACCATCATTACCACCACCACATCAATAACAACAATCATCATCATCTACAGTAACAACAATCATCATCATCTACAGTAACAACAACAACAACAACAACAACAACAACAACAACAACAACAACAACAACAACAGCAACAACAACTGTTGCCCCTCCCCAGCCCGTCGTGACCCAAAAAGGGAACAGTCATCTTGAACAATTCTGTTACTCAGCAATGTGGCCAGCCAACGGCGAAAGCCGCCAATGTAATCTTCCTTCATCGTATTCGACATGCTTTCATGTATTCGATACCTGGTGGCTATAGTTACGTTAGCGGATATGGCTTCATACACTACTACCCCCTGATTGTAGCAACGTTTCTCTACTACTAATTGAGAATCTTTGATTGCATGTCATGATCCAAAAATAGACCAGACTATTACATAGATATTTAAAAAATACTGTATGCTATTTTTGAGTCATATATATATTTTGAAACATGAAGCAATAACAATAATCAGTACCTTGTAATGAGACAGTGAAAACAGTAATTAAAGGCAACAGAAATGTGATTTCTTAGGAGTCTTGAGAATTTCATGGAAGGAAAAGAAATCAAATGAGGCAAAGCTGAAAGAAGCTCACGTGGTCGATGCAGTAATATGAACAAATAAGACGAGACAAATGCGGTTTCTGGGACACTTGATTCCACCAAAAGACTAAGAACATCTCGCTCTCACTCTCACTGAGAAAATAGAAGGCAAAAGAGGAAGGGGAAGACCAAAGGCAACTTATTCGGAGAATTTGAACAGTGGGTGGTGGGGAAATATAAAATCTGGCACTTGATGATGATGATCTTGTCATTTTCGTACACAGCTAACACTCTGTTCTGTTTACCTAGTGCAAACAAAGGGGCAAAAGAGATGTTTTAGTAAGGTTTACGTTCGCAACTCCATAAGGTCATATGAATATGAGCGCCAAGGGGTGGATGC